CTCATTGATCGGACCCATCTCAAACCGGATGTGTGGCTGGTGTGACGTGCCCCTTCCAACCACCCTGACCCACTTAACTCCACCCCCACCCCGATCACGCACACACACAGACACAGAGAGAGAGAAAGATAGACAATAACAAAACACAATAACACAAGCCGTGAATGAGAAAGTTAACTTGAGACGCATTTTCACAGTTGATTCAGTGGATCTCAGCTTGTTAAAATCAAATCAACTTCAAGACTGACAAGACACCAATAAAATCGATAACCAAGCGAAAACCGATGACAGTAGATTTCAGGAATGGAAATGGAATAAAGGTGTACGTCCTTCTCCCTTCATTCACAAACATCCGTAGAGTTTCGAGTTGGGATGATTGGCATTTTCTAACCATTTACCAGTCTGGCCGTCCATAACGAATCCATTGGCCTTCCATTTTTGACATCGNGGAAATAAACTATAGGTGTTCGTCCTTCTCCCTTCATTCAATCAGAAACGTCCGTATAGTTTCGAGTTGGAACCATTCACCAGTCTGGCCGTCCATAACGAATCCATTGGCCTTCCATTTTTGACATCGAGGATGGTAGCAGAGAATCGACGTACAATGAGAGCCGGCAATCAACCAACTGCGAATTGAAGTAGAATGCGCGACATGCTGGGTGGAATTTGCAGCTGAAAGACAAAACGGTTATAGATCTGTGATCCCGTTACACCGTTTTTAATTTCATCGCCTTGGTGTTTGTTTGTTTGTTAACTGCAGTAACAGTTGTAACAATTTGCAGTTTATTACGAAGTGCACAATCCACATTGATCATTACACTAGGTTACATTGTCAACGGGAAAGCAAAATCGGTCCACCAGGAATGTCATTTACGAAAATGAAAAATGAAAATGCACCAAAATCCGGAAATTGTTACTCTTATCCCGAACAAAATATTGGCTTCAAAACCATGCATCGTGATTTCATTCTTGATTCTTTAGTAGCATTTACCAACTATCCAGTGAGTCTACTGCAGATAAAAGCAGAACCTTTTTAATTATGACTTTACCTGATATCAAAATCAAAGGTCTGATTGTTTGATACGAATTATTTGGCTGAAATATATTATCAGGTCGCAGCAAACTACCAACTAGACCTATCATATTCAGTTGCCTCATTCTGGTGCCCATAACGATCCTTGTCCGTCATAAAATTCGCATTGCTTAACCTCGCACAAGACACTCCGGCTACTGCAGTAAGCTAGACTAATCCAAAAATCATAAAGCATTCAATCGATTGAGGTTTCTGTAAACACGGGCTTAATGACAGTTTTTGTATAGAAAAGATGGCACTCTAACGGTAGTCATTCAATTTCACCAAGTAGAATACAGTTTAAAAAAAATCGCGCCTACGCTTTCCAAGATATTTGCTCTTTGGAAATGCATAGATTCATGCTAATTATTTTCTCGCTAACTGATACTGTCAGCAAATCCGGATAGAACATAAAATCCTATGGGGTAAATTTTAAACAAAACTTTTACCGATTCCTGACGCATAGATTCATAACAAAACTTCAACGAGTACTCGTGTATATCAACCTCCCGTTCGTGTTTGGCTTATCTGGATCAATTTTTGAAACCAAATTTTGACCAAACCATGACTTCTAAACGCCCACCAATTTGTCAAGCTTTTCATTCGATTCATTAATATATGCATGAAGTAGTTTCGAATTGCTTCTATCATACGAATCTTAGTAAAGTTAACTGTGATTGCGGTTTCCTACGTTTAGCTTTTAATATTCTGAAGATTGTGTACGAGAATAGTGAAGGTTTATTCAGATCTTTAATATCTGCTTCGGTTTTTGGGTTCTCAGACTGAACACACAAATACACACAAACACATGTATTCTCCACCTTATTGCTCAAGTTTCGACAGTGTGTTCAACACAAACCTTGTCTTACTTTCACCCTCAAAAATGTCTAGTTCATATTGTTATCCGAGTTAGATTATCGCACCTATTGTCTGCAACTCTGTCGCTGTTGTGGTCATACACTTCTTTCCTTATTGTCTCATCACTTGGTAACCGTGAAAGGGCTTCCTCGACCTTATCGTTAGTCAAGTTGAGCATTTGTAGTCAATCAGAAACGTCTATCTTTGTCCAATTTACGGATACCATGGAATAAACAGACCGTGGATAAGAACGTTGACGGATTCTGTTAAATCTTCCTAAATTAGGGAGTGTTCATTTGGCAATCTGTTTTATTATATTTCAGTCGCGAGTCCAAATCAGCCAATGTGATTGTGCATCGGAGTTGAGCACAACAACCCATATCGAAACTGAGACTACACCTGGAGTCTATGAGAATATAGTTATTTGGAGGTCGTAGAAGTATAATATCACTTATGGATAGTGCGAGTCTAACTGAGTTCACATTCATAAATTTATATGTAAATGTATATATATGATGCAAAAATTCCAAATCACTCAGAAAACCATTACATTTTGTATTTTCTATCCCCATTCCAAACCGCATACACTTCATAACTGAGGGTTCCAATTCACACTCAACCCCAGTTTATCTCACATAGTTCTAATACTCCTAATACATTTACGTACTTCTTCATGTGTCAGCCCGACTCACGCAATGTACTTTACTTTAAAACTAATCTTCACAATAAGCTTGCAACGGTCAGCGTCGTCTAGATAAGTGCAAACAATCATGTAAACTTTCCACGAATTAGATTTTTTATTTTTCCGTCGAGAACAAATTATTTAGTAATACTTAGAATTCTCTATCAATATTTCATTTATAATATATGAAAGCTTTTAGAACAACTCAGTAATTCCGTCATCAGTACACCAACAAAAATATTCTCTCTGAAACATTCAATAATCAATCAGAAAGTTCTTTTCGATGACTTTTATGATGAAAATGATAATAATAATTACAATACGGCTTCCCACAATCGACGTTAGTTGCTTTTATGAGAAGTTGTGACATAATGTGATTAAACAGTGATCATTACCTGTAAAAATAGATTCGAGAAACAAATTATCGTTTCATTGCCCTCTTGGTACTACCGAAAGTTATCTGATTAGTACAAGTGATCTAAACTAAGCACGATCATCAATAAGTTCCAGATTCAAGCATGAAATTACGTTTCATATAAACTCAATTCCTCCTTTTTATGCTCAACATGCTAATCGGACAATAAAACCAAACAAGGCAAACGAAACGGTGGACAATGCTTAAATCAACTCACAACTTGGCGCAATGTAACAAAGTAGGTGAGTCTTTCTGTTCAAAACATCCTTGATTACTGGCGTCCGTCAGAAAGAGCGACGTGAGAGGGTAAGGCCAATTCAATCGCATTTTCTCTGGATATTCACTGATTGGTTTCTGTGCAAGTTCACAAAGTGCACCGGAGTATCTTGAGTAAAACTGCTCATTATCGTACAATTCATTGCGCATAAAAACTGCTATACGCTGTTGCATTTTATTGGGCTCCGTATATCGCCAAGGGAGGTAATTATCCGTGGGATCAAAAACAAAATCCGCCATACCCGGATCACCAACTCGCCAACCATCACGTAAATTAGTCGATCGATTCAAAAGTGCAGTTATAGTTGTGGGCACTGTTTCTTTACCCGAGAAATGTTTCGGAACCACTTTAGCGTGATATCCGACCAGAAAAAGACGAAAACCCAATTTCAGACCCTCGTTTAAACAGACCTCATTGGCTTCACAATAAGTCGTGTTCTTTGTAATCCATTTGAAGCACCAATTGCCATCGATTTCTTCGAATTCGGAAGGGCAGCTAGCATCACATAATCCGTGTTCAGTTACATGGAGATATATTAGCGTAAGTAAGATCATCATTGTTAACTTCGCCATCTCAAAGCGTTGAAAACGAAGCATTATTATGAAAAATGCAGAGTAATTGGTTCCTTGGGATTAGTAACGACAATTTAACGAAATGCGTTCCATCACACATCTGTTATAATTCAATAATTATCTCTAGGGGGAACAAGGCGTGCATTGTTAGCCATTGGCTGGCGCGTTACATATTGTCCAATATTTCTCGTTCATAACGAATATCCTGTCACATGCTCAGTTCCTCTCTACCTAGCCCTGTTCAATTGTCCCATAGGAAGGAAGATTTGTACCTCGCACAATGAATGCCGAATGTGATACATTTGAAGTTTTCTTTCTGTTGTTAATTATAGTTTGTTTTACATTTCCCGTCTGTTCATTAGCCTACGATACTATGGCTGATTTACGCAATTTAATTTTAATTTGATTCAGATTGTTTCCCGGTTATATTATTAGTTATTCGGTTGTCAATTGTCCACAAGTTGTGAATACAAAACAAATAAACAATAACGTATGGCACTTCTGCCCGATTTTTTTCAAGGACGACTTCACTGTATCTCAAAACACAGTATAACACGCAATTTTATATAGTCTTCAGCCTGGCAACAAAGTAAATTAAAAGACATTTCAACAGACAATCATAAAAGACCTAGAGAATTATCACCAGGGTAAAGAAAATCTAAAATAAAGATCATTTTTTAACTTAGAGGAGGGTTTGTCGGTTGATGACAACTGCCTCAGACAACCTCAGCAAGATGAAAATATCCTTTCCCTTTGATCCATGTAAATAAACGAGTAACACAATGCGAACCGAATTGATAGCGGCCATCACTTTCAAGCGCTCTCAATTGGCTATCTACGCTCATTATATAGAAGAATTTCATATTCGGACATTTCCCTAACAATGTTGGTTCTAGTGGGCAAAATGATGGTTTGCGGGTCATTGCCAAAGTCATTCGAAAATAAACATATGAGGAGAGCGGATTCTGATTACAAAGATTCCGAAAGAAATATATGTATAATGAAAACCGATTAACCGCGGAGGAAAGTTGGGAATGGTTGCGTAAAACCAAACAAGAGAATAGTTTACCTAGTTATAGCCAGAATTTAATTAAAACGGATATAGAAAGGTAACAGAAAAGAAAATATATCAATCCTAAGAGTTAAGTGAGTTACGTAATGTGGACGATAGAGGAGTTAATGGCTGAGGTGAGTGGAAGAGGGATTAGTGCTACAAAACAACTACTATGACAATATCAACTGAACCGGTCAGGCTTCAAACGGCTAAGGAAAACCGCTTCGGCAATATTATCATCCTTAGGCTTTGAGGTTTGAAGATAGCACGGAAAGCCTACAATTTTTTCTTGCGGTTTCCGCTTTCCAAAACAGCAAACACTGCGCTTAGTGACAGTTTTCTTTCTTGAGCTGCCAAGTTATTACAAACATACTCACTCATTTGGGTCAAAAGTCAATTTTGATTTCTTCCGACGTACTGCGAATTGTAAGTACATTGAAAAAGATAAATGCATCTGGAGGTGACCGTATTGTTGGATTTGTCTATGTTCACCGATTAAATGAGTTTATTGACTTCTGAAGTATTGTATTCTTCGCTTCAGAATAGGTGGACTCAACTTAGTAAGGGTTTGACAGCAAACCTATGCAATTAAGTCAGCTACTTTAAATGGGAATACTAGATTCTTTTCAACCGTTATGTCCTCTGACCTGTGGATAATAGGTAAACAACGTTTATGCATAAATGCAAAGGGCAGTCATTAGTGAACAAAGCATTTATCAGCCCTCCTAAATCACTTTCCGAAATTTCCAGACTACACAGGCAAAGCACTCTGTAGAACAGTTCTTATCAATCCAGTAATGTAATTGTTGATTCCATTCAGCCCTGCACCCAAAACATTGTATGACCCATTACACTCGTC